TGCTGGCTCCTGCTTCAACGTCTTTTCCTACTGCTGCGAGTACAAGTCCCCAGTGATGGTTTGTCTCGTTCGTAGCACTGTACCTGATTGTCGACTTGTACCAGCTACTTGTCTTCCGTGGATCTTGGTCTTGACCAGCTATGGTCGCAACAATGTCTTCACGTGGATCTCAGAGGTTTGTCTTGAGGCTTCAGTGATAGGATGAGAGTCCGTATTTAAACGTGATATAGGCGTAAGCAAAAATATTGTATTGTTTCTATCTCTAGATTGGCGCTGCTCAGTCTTCATTATCGTTTATTCGGTCTTTCGAATTGTCTTTCGAATTATCTTTCTTATTGTCCAATCTGCAACTGTTCTCACAGAAGACGGAACCTCGCAAGCCTGTCATTATTCTGTTGCTATTTCCATTGTAAATCTTCAGAGAAGCTCCAATCTTTACTTCTCATTGTTCAGACCTTTACACCGGGCCGGATTTAGACGAAGAGTGATCCCAGGTTATTCCAATTGTGAGGCCCCACCAAATTCCTTTATTCCCCACGCGTAGAGGAAAATGAAAGAATGATTTGTGTTTAAAATTACTGAAGGTTTATTTAAAGCCTTATATGCGTTATGACGGCATGTGTGAGAAAGTGTCCAAAATATTATACACTTTGGCAGTAGTGCCCCTAAATTTTGACGCCCTAGCCCTCAACCTGCTAATCCTCTAAGAAAATCCCGGCACTTTCAGAGCGATCGTTGACCTGAAAAATAAAGTTTAGTGATGATCTAAAAATCTGCCTAAAATATAAGTTAAAACCTTATGTAGTAATTCTGTGCCATTAACACAAATACTGTATCTCAAAAACTGTAAAAAAATCTACAAATACCGTAAGCAAAAAAAGTGTATTGCTTCTATATTTAAATTGGCGTTGCTAACTCTTCCTTATTGGTCTTTCGATTGAAAGGGTTATTCTCCAATCTGCAGCCATTTTCACAGAAGACGGAACCTCGCAAGCCTGTGAATATTCTGTTGCTATTTCCATGGCAATTCTTCAGAGGAGCTGCAATCTTTACTTCGTATCATTCAGACCTTTGCACAAAGTAGAGGAAAATGGAAGAATATTAAAAACTGATGATGACCGCTGTTTAAAATTACTGAAGTGTTATTCAGAGTCTACAATGTGTTATGACAGCGTGTGTTAAAAAGGTCTATGAAAGTGTCCAAAATATTATACACCTTGGCTGGAGGACCCCTAGATTTTGATGCGCTAGGCTTCAGCCTGTTAATCCTCTGTCAGAGCGATTGTTGACCTGAAAAATAAAGATTAGTGATGATCTTAAAATCTCTCTAAAAGTTAAATCCTTATGTAGTAATTCTGCGTCATTACCTAGAACAGTGTCAAATACATCTTGGTTGGTTGACCCTAGATTTTGAACTTCAGCTTGCTAAGTAAATCCAGCACTGGAATCAACATTTGCTAGGGTTAAAAAATCTAAGCCGGCCAAGGATAGATTGAAATACAATATAGGAACCTCCAAATTCCCTATTCTCATGAATAGAAGAACAAGGAAAAATGTTAATTTGATTCAAGTGGAGGATAATGACGGGTGTTTAAAAATTCCCAGTTGACAATTCCTCCTCCTCTAAAGGACAGAAGATTATTATTATTTTTAAATACAGTATGTGATTGAAAAAATGCATGAATATTAAAATTAAAACAAATCTTTAAAGAAATCAATTCTAGCATCGAGTTATCGGTTTAAGAGAGAATTATTCTTGAAATGGAATGGAAGGAAAATTACTGAAGTGTTGTTTAGAATCGATAATGCTTTATGATAGCAAGTGTAAGAAAGGCCTATGAGAGCGTCAAAAATATTATACACCTTTTCTGGAGGTCCCATAGATTTTGGCGGCCTTAAGCTTCAGCCTGTTCAGACTATAGTTAAATCATGCACTGACCCTAGACTTGAACAGCTTAGGGTTCTAGTGATCGGAAGGGCATCCTCTTCGGGGTTGGTTCCTCAAAACAACAGTTTGTGAGAAGCGGCTGCTCGAGTGGAACTTTCATCTCCCGAAGGTTTCACCATTCTCTTTATAACTCTTAATAACCCCTTGCGTCTATTTTTTAAATGATGTTTACTCTATACAAGGCACAAGAGTCACTCGAGGTAGAGTCAAAAATATACACCTTAGCTGGTGGCTCCCTAGATTTTGAGGCCCTAGGCTTCAGTCTGCTATGCCTATAGGTAAATCCGGAACTGCCTTTATAGAGAGATCTAGGGGAAAAAACACCAATAACAGAAATTGTAATATGAGCTAGGGTAAAATAAATATTTACTAAGACATTAGGTTTATAAGTTCCAAAAATTCCCTCACTGATGATCTTAAGGACACATGTCCTAGTGGATAAAAGTTGAGTAATCCAGAAAGGGATTCAACCTAAAGAGTTGTGAGTTCAATACCTGACAGAGAACAAAAAACATTGTTAGTTAACTGAAACTGAGATATTCAAAAAAGGCATGGCATGTGGAATTAGAACAATCTGCCCCCGTGTATGAAATGAAGGCTCAGTTCAAAATGCCAAGAAATTCGGAGCGTAGAACGACGTCGTGAACATGACAGTAAAGATGAGGACAACAGTCCTAGCGAAGTAAATAGTTATAATACCTCTATATTTCTGAGTTGACGTATTGTAACTATTTTTCCTTAAAGCATAGAAGACGTACTTTTTTACTTTGAAATATGTCTATATTTCTGAGATGAGGTTAAGGCAGTGGAGAACTTTGAAAGGGGAATTAAAAGAAGATAACTGATAACGGACATCCATTAGACGTGGCACGTCGAACTATAACAGTCTACCCCAGCGAGCGAAATAAAGGGTTCAGTTCGACATTACAACTACCTAAAGAAGGCAGGAGCGTACAACTGCCGAAACGTTGTGATAAATATGGCAACAAAGATGAAGATGATAGTTCGAACAATCTAAATAATGTACATAATACCTCATCTCATAAATATAGACAGATACTGGCAAAGAGAACAACAAGTTGAGATGAGTTACCTGAAACTGAGCTATTCAAAAAAGGCATGGCATGTGGAAGTAGAACAATCTACCTCCGAGGACTAAATGAAGACTCAATTCAAAATGCCAAGAAGAATAAAGGTGCGTAGGACGACGTCGTGAACATGACAAGAAAGATGAGGACAACAGTCCTAGCGATGTAAATAGTTATTTTTTCTTTAAAGCGTGGAAGACATACTTTATTACTTTTCTCACTTATTTCTTAAAGATATACATATTTATGTTGTGACCAAGTAAACGGTTAAGTAATAACAAAAAGCAGGTTTTCAGATATATTAAACAGTAAATACACCAGAAGAGTATTAAACGACTAGTGAGTGCGTATTGTATGAATCAGAGCTCCATCTATTTACTGTTCCCCAAGACTTTCTCTCCTACTAATTTTATAGTAGGCGGAAGAGTCCAGCATAGACTCTTAAGAGGGAGGACATCACAACACTTTATGTATGAACGTCATTCAATTATTTTTTACTATGATTGTTCCATGCTTCATGGTCGGCGAGAAATACCCGTAAAGACCCCAACCGGGGAGATGTAGGGGGGGGGCTTATTGTTGGCCCCGAGAAGTGCTTCGTATTCCTTGCTATCTTATCAACATTTGTTTCCATCTACCTAGGAAAATTAAATGATTTTAGTCAAGCTGAGGCTGATATTTATTGGTGTTTAAAATTACTGAAGGGTTATTCAGTGTCTACAATACATTAGGACAGAATGTATAAGAATGACCTATAACTATAAGTTGTGACCAAGTAAATGGTTAAGTAATAACAAAAACCAGGTTGGAAGATATATCGTATACTAAACCGTAAGTACACCGGAAGAGTATGGCACGACTAGTGAGAGTGTATCGAATGAACTAGCGCTCAATCAATTCACAATTCCCTGGACCTTCTCTCCTACTAAACTTATAGTAGGCGGAAGAGTCTAACATAGACTCTTAGAGGGAGGACACCACAACACTATGTCAAAATTATTATTATTATTATTAAAAAAATACCTAGATTTTCAGGCCCTAGGCTTCAGTCTGAAAAGCCTATAGGTAAATCCGGCACTGCTTTTACATTTAGAAGACAACGTGCTATTTCAACGGGGGTCGAATCACTCTCATTTCCCCGTGTTTCTATAGTAAAATTGTATTTTACGATAGCAAAATTGTATTTTTACTATAGCAAAATTGTATTTTTACTATAGTAAAATTGTATTTTTACTATAGCAAAATTGTATTTTTACTATAGTAAAATTGTATTTTTACTATAGCAAAATTGTATTTTTACTATAGAAAATCGTATTTTATCTGATTTCGAATTGCTTAAAGTACAATTTCAATTTGATGGTTGATTTTTTTTTATTTAAAAAGCGTCAATCTTTTTACATATGTCTTCGTCAGTAGCAGTGATTTGGGGGCCGGGGTGTGTTTTTTTACAAGATGGAAAGTGCGACACCGCAATCCGAAGGCCTATTAGGATAGCAAAAGGTGTCTTTCAAAAGTTAAGCAATGTATTAAGAAATAGGAAAATTTAATTGGAAACAAAAGAAAAGAATGCTGAACCGTTATATAATATCCGTTCTCTTTAATAAATGCTGCGCCATCTCATACATATAGAGAGGTGACATGAGGCAGCAGAAAAAGTGATTCTACAGAAGGCTACTGAGAATTACCATGGCCAGAAAATATGAGAAGCGATGAAGTTTTACAGAATATGGAATAAAAAAAGACACATGTAGCATCGGCAAAAGAATAGTTGACATTTCTAGGAAAGTAGGTTCGGAAAAATTGACACTCACAGGGCATATTAACAGAGAAAAGCAACGTATAACCTAACTTTTGACATTATGTAAAAAGTTGTCAAAAGAGATTTTAAGAGATACAGCAAAAAGACAAAAATTATATGGGCTACAAAGGACAGGAACTTGTGGAGAGCCATAATCGCATACGTCCTAAAGAGATACGACACAAAGAAGAAGAAGAAAAATAAGGGGGATTTGAAGAAAAAGAAGAAGAAGAAGAATAAGGAGGAGGAGGACGAGGAGGTGGAGAAAAAGGAGGGCGAGAAGAAGAAGGTAGGAGGAAGATAACAATAAGGAGGAGGAGGAGAAGAAGAAGAAAAGGAGGAGGAGGAGGAGAAAAAAGAGGGCAAGGAGAAGAAGGAAGGAGGAAGATAACAATAAGGAGGAGGAGGAGGAGAAGAACGAGAAGTAGAAGTGAGGAGGAGGAGGAGGAAGAGAAGAAAAAGAAGAAAGAGAAGGCGGCGGAGAAGGAGAAGAAGAAGAAGAAAAAAAAGAGGGGGAGGAGAAGACGGTGGAGTAGGAGTAAGAGATGGAGAAGGAGATAGAGTAGAAATATTGGGGAGGAGGAGGAAGAGAAGAAGAATAAGAAGAAAGCTGAGAAAGAGAAGAAGAAGAAGAAAAAGGAGAAGGAGGAGGAGAAGAAGGGAGAGTAGGAGTAAGAGAAGAAGAAGAAGGGGTGGGGAAGAGGAGGAAGAGAAGAAGAAGAAGAAAAAGAAGAAGGAGGAGGAGAAGAAGGGAGAGTAGGAGTAAGAGAAGAAGAAGAAGGGGTGGGGAAGAGGAGGAAGAGAAGAAGAAGAAAAAGAAGAAGGCAGAGAAAGAGAAGAAAAAAAGGAGGTGGAGGAGGAGGAGAAGGGGGAGTAGGTGTAAGAGAAGGAGAAGAAGGAGATCGAGAAGGAGGAGTGGGGTGGAGGAGGAAGAGAAGAAGAAGGAGGAGAAGGAGAAGAAAAAGGAGGAGGCGGTGGCGAAGAAGAAGGAGGAGGGGTAGGAGTAAGAGAAGAATGAAGAGGAGGAAGAAGAAAAGGAGGGGGAGTAGGAGGTGAGGGCAGGATTATAATTACATCTTTTATCCAGGTCGGGTGTAGCTGCTGATATTCTCATAAAGCGACAAATCCCATTTCTTTTTATTCTCTTTCTCTCCGAATGTGTGCGCGTGGGTTAACAGCTTCGCCGCCAGGGGGCGCTGCGATCTAAATCGATCGGCAGAAAGAAATATGTTTCCAATTCCGGCCGATCAAATGATGGCTTATCGACTAAGCGGCTTTTCATAGCGGATCAAACTACTCCAGAGACGGCGTACTGTTTGCCAGACAGGGATACTTTTAAAAACATAGCGCCATTGAATTTTCCATTTGGCTATTTTTTTTTTTCGCGACATTTTGAGGCCACTTTTTAAAATAAAGCTTCTCTGACTTGGTTTACTAATAATGAAACTCTATTCTAAATTCAGAAATGATGAACATCCAGCTGGAGACAAAGTCGCGACTTATTAGCTTAATTTGGCAACCCAGCCTCTATAGTAAGCAAAGAAGTGTACATTAAGTGAGGGTTCATTTTCCATTTACAACAAAGTTATGAACAGATCCCCCAATTTTTGTCATAATAAATTCTATACATTTCTCTATTATGAGCTTAGCCAAATTGTACATTATTAATATTTGATTAACAAGCGTATATTAAGTGAGGGTTCACTTTCCATTTACAACAAAGTTATGAACAGTTCCCCCATTTTTTGTCATAGTAAATTCTATACATTTCTCTACTATGAGCTTAGCCAAATTGTACATTATCAATATTTGATTAACAAGCGTATATTAAGTAAGGGTTCACTTTCCTTTTACAATCAATTTATGAACAGATCCCCCAATTTTTGTCATAGTAAATTCTATACATTTCTCTACTTTGCAAACCCAAATTGTCGATCATCAATACTTTATTAACAAAGAAGTGAATATTAAGTGAGGGTCATTTTTCAATTATAACTAAGTTATGAATAGATCCCCCACTTTTTGTCATAGTAGCTTCTATATATTTGTCGACTCCAGCAATCCTGCTTAAACTTCATCCATACTTGAATAACAAAGTGTATATTAAGTGGGTGATCACTTTCCTGTTACAATAATGTTATACACAGATGTACTTTTTGCAATACTTGATTCTACAGTTTTCGCTACTTGAAAAAACAGCAGGAGGCAGATTTTTCAGGCTGGACTACTTAAAAAAAATGACAGCGCTACTAAATTTTGAAATTCTTTACTTGTGATTTTGTAGGAGTAGGGTACTTTTAAAAGAGCTGACGTAATTTTAGTTTCGAATGAGTAGAAAGTCAATTAGAAATGGGTACCTCCAAAGATTCGTTAAAAAATGAGAATACACGATGAAAAAATGCCCCAAACTTAATAAAAATGATGTTTTATCCTTAAGAGAAAAGACTAAAGGATTTTTTATGAAAAAATTGTTTCATTCTTTTTAGAACCTTCGAAATTTTACTTAAAGATTTTGTTTTTCTGTCTTCAACGTGGGATTATAAATGAGTACAGGAAATTTGAGCGTCGTTTTTGCGGTGAAAAACATTGATTTGAAAATTCTCGCAAAAATTAAATAATTGTCAGATTTTAATGAAACTTTCACGAATGAATGAAATTATTTTCTAAATGTTTATTTTTTTTAGAATATCTTGGAATTTTTTTTCCGTCGGTTTCACTTATTTAGTTTTATGAAATTTCCAGAATACTTTCTTGTAGGACTTAATATTTATATTAATTATAAGTATATGTCCTTGGTGAATTTAATTACAAGGTATAAAAAAAAATCTGTTCGAATCGTAAAATAAAAAAAAAAAAAAAAAACTAAGATATTATTTAAGTAGAAAAGCGTTTAATTGCTTTCATTAATATGACACTATTGTCTTACAAAAAATGTTTTTCGACGATTAATGAATTTTTGCAAGAACTGTTTTGCTTTTTTTTTTTTTACTTTAATTCGATTATTTTATTTTAAATCTTTTAAAATTCTGTAATAATTTTCTGGTGGTCCAGTGATATTATTAAATAAAAACTATATTTACTAATCACAGACGGAAAAGCTTACTACAATTCAGCAACACCTATTATTTTTAAAAGAATTTTGAATTGTTTTGTGTGTATAAATAAACGTGCCGGTTTTTGTAAATACTGACGTCTATACCAACGCTATCAGAAAATAAGATCCTTAACTACAGTAAATTTAAAATTTATTGGCAATTTTAATTAACAAGCGTCTTCGTAGGTAAGTACCTAAAATTCAATAACATTAGAATGATAAAAATATCTTAATTTTTTAAAATTTCTGGATAGTTAAAGAAATATTTAAAAAAAAAAAAAGGCGTTTACGTTGTATTCGTCATGTGATTTTATTACGATTATCCTCTTTGATAAATTTCCCAACCCTCAGGTTGTCGATAAATGTGTCAATACCTCATAAGAACACCCACATCCGTGTTACGATTCTGCGATATTTTAAACTAAAATAAATATTATTTATTTTAATTCTGATTAATTAAACTGTAAATCAGCTAATTATTTTCAAATAACGTTTCAGAAAAGTGTATTTTATTTTTGAAGGGTTTTTAATAAAGAGAATTATTTTTTGTTGACAAATTTGACAAAATGGACGATTTTACTGACAATAATAAAAATTATTCCAATCAATTTAAATTCGGTTTGAAATAGAATAAACTATTTTGCATATTCGAAATATTAAATTTAATCCATTTGCTTGCAATTAAAACTAAAGTAAAAGCTTCAAGAAATATTTTTCATTTTTAAAATGTATTTTAAAATTTAGGTATCGCTTTTTTAGGTACCTCATTAAAAATGTAGAACCTCGCTTTCAAACTGACACCAGTTCACTACTTTATAGCTAAACCTGGCACAGTAAGCAAACGTGTGTACATGATATGAAGAATAATTTTTCTTTTTACAATCAAGTCCCACACACAAACAGAGCCACCATTTTTTTACCAAACTGTGGAGGTTTAAATGTTGAATTTCGCAACCTTCGACTTTATGGAGCGAATTTTAAAATAAATTGGGTTAAGTTTAATACAAATGAGAAAAAGATCAATTAAAAGTAAATTCTTTGTGAAAGAGAGGCCAACAGAGTAGGTACGCTAATTAATAGCAACTTAATACCAACAGAATTACCCGACAAAGAGTGTCTCTTCACAATCTATGAAGATTGAAGTTGCAAAATACCCTACTCGGGTAGCTGCTCAAGATAGATAGATAGATAGATAGATAGATAGATAGATAGATAGATAGATAGATAGATATGAACTGGATAACATAGATAGATAGATAGATAGATAGATAGATAGATAGATAGATAGATAGATAGATATGAACTGGATAAGATAGATAGATAGATAGATAGATAGATAGATAGATAGATAGATAGATAGATATGAACTGGATAACATAGATAGATAGATAGATAGATAGATAGATAGATAGATAGATAGATAGATATGAACTGGATAACATAGATAGATAGATAGATAGATAGATAGATAGATAGATAGATATGAACTGGATAACATAGATAGATAGATAGATAGATAGATAGATAGATAGATAGATAGATAGATCTGAACAGACTGACAGACAGATAGATATGAATAGACTGAGATATATATGGATAAACTTAGATAGATTTGAACAGAGAGATATGCATAGACTGATGGACAGACAGGTAGGCTGGCAGATAGATAGATAGATAGATAGATAGATAGATAGATAGATAGATAGATAGATAGATAGATAGATACGAACAGACTGAATAAATAGATCATAAAGAGACTGAGATATATGGATATATGCATAGATATGAACAGACTGGAGATATATATATATATATATATATATATATATATATATATATATATATATAGATAGATAGATAGATAGATAGATAGATAGATAGATAGATATTAATAGACGAAGATAGATAATTCGAGTCTCTAGTTTTCTGAGATAGAGATCTGAAGAATTCGATATGGTACTGTGCATGGAAAAACACATTCACGAACACACACACACACACGCTCTCTTCTCTCTCTCTCTCTATATATATATATATATATATATATATATATATATATGAGAGAAGAGAGAGAGAGAGAGAGAGAGAGAGAGAGAGAGAGAGAGAGAGAGTATGGTTTTGTCCTCCACCCACAGATGCACTAAATTTACCCCGTGTCAATTTCAATCAGCCTTGTCCTCCTGATTCCCGGACCTGATAACATTCTGTCGGGCTCTTGGGAAGATCCGATCACTTACAACTTTTCGTGCAAAACGTTAAACATAAAAAGCGCCTCCACCCCCCAAAAAAAAAAAAAAAAAAAAAAATCGATGTCCATAGGCAAAATTCTCTCGTAACACTGGGTGCAAACCGATGACGTATCCTCAGTAGGAAAATCTGTCTTTGATCGAAAGACACGTACGGATAAGCCGATAATAAACACAAAACATACACACTCAGTAGAAGATAGAACACATCCTCAATTGTTGGTGACAAGAGAAAAGATGAGCATATGCGTTTCCAAGCGGGGAACATGCGAAATTCGTTAATTGAAAACATAGCGTTACAGTCGGTTGAAATTTCTAAAATCTTTCTGTCAATCACTGCAAATTATTTTGGGAAAAACGTTTTATTTTCAGAGGAATTTTTTATTTGATTTTAATATATTAACATAGAAACTCAGTCAGCTTGAAGGATTCCTCCATCTTCTTGAATCAATTTTGAAATAAGAATCGTTTGTCTTATAATTCATATGTCATGTTACTGAAAGGTAACTACCTATTTGCTGTATGATGGACTCTCCCAACTAACTATAATTTTACAATACGGGAGAGTCGATCTAGATAAAATAGGGAGTTACTTTTCAACCACACACACACACATACATACACACACATATACATACATAAATACATACATTTTTAAAAAAAATATGATTCCTTCGCTACATAAGAGTTCTCATGTTTCAAAAACGAGACCCGAAACCCTCAATACAATTATTAAAATTAAATTGAATTAAAGTATCAAGCCCTGTTTCATCCTCAAGCGAAAATTTAGGAATAACCAATCTTGAAATTTACGCATCTTTATAAGCATGTTCCTTCACAAGATTAATTACTATGGAAACGGCTTAAAATTAAGTTTCTAAACATTTATTAAAATTTATTAAACCAGAGACATGAGTTAACTGTTTTTTTGCCGCCATCAACAAATTTTCGCGTTAAATAATTAGCATAAAAAAATAAATTTCATAGTCTAATAAAAGGTTTAAAAGCTTAACCCAATCATAAGATAGAAAAATCCTTTATGAAGTCGCCAAAAAAACAAATTGTAGTTCAGTGCGACGCGTTTATGCACGAAACAACCCTTTAGGAAAAATAAATAAATAAATAAAATACAACAAAATTCTCTAGACACTTAACGACATATTATGGTGTCAAAAGCTATCTTTCACTGTGACTGACCAGACGATGTGCTTACATGAATGCCATCATTCGCTTTGAAATGGACACCCCGACCCTACCTGGGCTTGACTTCTTTCCGAAGGTGACTGATATGTGGAGAAATATTAACTCTTAGACCCCTTATCATAATGGTCACCCCAGCCGTTTCCATAGTAATTAATTTTGAGAATGAACATGCTTATAAAGATGCGTAAATTTCAAGATTAGTTATTCTTAAATTTTCGTTTTTGGCTCCTGTTTTTGAAACACGAGAACTCTTATGTAGCGAAGGATTCATATTTATTAAAATAATAATAATAATAATAATAATAATAATATATATATATATATATATATATATTTTAAAATAATTATAATATATATATATATATATATATATATATATATATATATATATATATATATATATATAAAAAAAGAAATATAGTCTTAAGGTATGCTATATTTATGAAATAAAAGTGCTTTATAATATCAGAGATAGATCGTGTAAATATAAAAGTGATTTATAAAAAAACATGTGGCCGAACAGATTGTTTCATACTATGAAACAGACTCTCGCCCTAACTTTGAATATAATATTTATATATATATATATATATATATATATATATATATATATATATATATATATATATATATATATATTAAATATAAATTGGTTTTTTTTAAATTTTTTTTAGTCATTTCTCTTATATTGTCCAATAAGTGTCGGCTTATACTTTATTTATTTATTTATATTCTTTTTAACATGATGCATAAGTCGTAATTTATTTATTTTAATCGTAAAAACAATGTAAATTTCTAGTTATTTTATGGCGGAATATTTTTCTTTCTTTATGAATAACAGTAACCATTGGCTGACGAGATGAAAATTTATGGGGGATGTAGGGAAAAAAAGAAAAAAAAATCGGAAAACATAATTACCTTCCAAGTATCCGGTGATCCACACAATCAAAAAAAAAAAAAAAAAAAGGAAAAATTCCCCGTAAACAATTTAAATGGAACTCACACCATTTTGATTTGCTGTTAGTCAGCTTCCAATCAAATGCATGATAGCTGGTTATAGTTTGTCCAATAAATCAGTATCTGCAGGCTGTTAATTTAGATGACGGATCAGAGACTGATTAACTCTGATGGGGACGACTTGGTGAGGACAGTATGATGTTTGAAAAATCCAAACAGCCCAATGATCCAAATCAAAACATTACTGACGCCGCCATCTAGCGCTAAAGAGCGTATATATTCAAAAAAGTTTCAGGATATATATATATATATATATATATATATATATATATATATATATATATATATATATATATATATATATATATATATATATCATTCATTCAAAAAAAAAAAGAGATTAGTAAAGTTAATGATATAAATGGCGAAAAACATCTCGCTAACAAATTTATTAAAGTTACATTAACCTACCAACCATTCGATGAATGTTATGATCCTTGTTTTTAATAACTTCAAGTTGTATAAGGTCTTATTTTTTTATTATATAAATATATATATATATATATATATATATATATGTATGTGTGTGTGTGTGTGTGTGTGTGTGTGTGTGATTGAAAAGTAACTTCCTATTTTATCTATGATCGACTGTCCCGTATTGTAAAATGATAGTTAGATGGGAGAGTCCATCATACAGCAAATAGGGAATTACCTTTCTCTCACCCTGTGTATATACCAGTAAGCTCTGACTGTACAATATTCTATTAAGTTTTTCCAACTTCCGACTAAGTTGTTTTATGTCAGAATTAAAATTAATCTACTTTATAAAGTTTTTTTTTTTTATCCGAGTACTTTCGTCTGTCAATGCAGTTCAACATCAAGAATTGCATGTTCAGCCTGCCCGTAAAAAAACAGTATTCTTGGAAACACCAGAGTTAGTCAAACCCATGTTTATAAACAGACTAAGGACAATATTCTTAATGACGATTGTAAATGATAATCGACAATGCCTTGATTAATGATAAAAATATATTTATAAGGTATGATTTATTTATGAGTTAAAATGCTTGTTTCTTTTTTCTTTCTCTCTCTTAATTATTTTTTTAAGTTTCTGGTACAAATATCATCTCATCATCTTTCGGCCTCGGCCGAGATTGAACTCACCAATACCTTGTCAAATAGCTGAATTCTTGATGCTTCGCTAGGGCTATCAAGGGTGTTTTTATCGTGATACCAACACTAAATGGATTGCCAACCAAGGCTCAGAGAGACTCCATTCACCCTCAAATATATTACAATATATATTACCAATATACAGGGGTTGGATTTAATAATTGGAACAGTTGCAAAATCCACTCCTATATTTCAAAGACCTATTATATTAAGAACTTTAACTAAAACTTCGTAATTGCAGGTTATATCTATTGTAAATACATTTATTTGTCTAATTTACTGACTTTGTTTTATTTATTTTTAGAATTTAGTAAAATTTAAGCTAAATGCGTGACCTCTCCGATTTCGAAAAAGAGCAAATTGTTGGAGCTCGCATGACAGGAGCCTTGATCAGTAAGGTTGCTGAAATGTTTGGTTTTTCAAGAGCTACCATATCAAGAACACTGATGCAATTTGAGAAACAGGGCAAGACCTTTAGCAACCGTAGCAATTCGGGCCGGACTTGCAAACTTACTGACAGGGACTGACGTGCATTGAAACGCAATGTGGCAAAAAATCATCGGACAAATGCGGCCAAAGTGACTGCTGAGTTGAATAACCATCTGAATAGTTCAGTTTCTACTAAAACTGTTCACCGTGAGCTACATAAGGCTGCATATCACGGAAGAGATGCTGGAGTATTTCAAGGTAACTTAGTTTCTTAGTTACTATATTAAAAACAAATTAAAATCCATATGAAAATTATTTCGAAAATAACTGGCGGGAAAGGGGTTAATTCCAGTAAAAATGACACTTGTATATAAAAACAGAATAAACAACTAAACAAAAGGACCTTGTCATTAAGGGTACATTGAAGTCAAAACTCAGTCTGTTTCATGCTTAAACGCAGTCATCAAGACAATTTCATTTAAGCCTGGAACAGTCTGGGTGTTGAATTCAATGTACATTTTTATATTTACATAGGCTCTATTTCTGAGAATACCTATTCTATTCATACGAATCTATCCTAAAAATGTTGTCGGCATTAAATAACCCATTGTGGTTGATATGTCGTAAAATAAAATAAACCAAACCAATCTAAACCAAAGAATACATATTCTATTCATACGAATCTATCCTAAAAATGTTATTGTCATTAAATAATCCATTGAGGTTGATATACCGTTAAACAAAATAAACCAAGCCAATCTAAACCAAAGAATACATATTCTATTCATACGAATCTATCCTAAAAATGTTGTCGGCATTAAATAACCCATTGAGGTTGATATGCTGTTAAACAAAATAAACTAAGCCAATCTAAACCAAAGAATACATATTCTATTCATACGAATCTATCCTAAAAATGTTGTCGGCATTAAATAAACCATTGAGGTTGATATGCCGTAAAATAAAATAAACCAAACCAATCTAAACCAAAGAATACATATTCTATTCATACGAATCTTTCCTAAAAATGTTGTCGGCATTAAGTAATTCATTGAGGTTGATATGGCGTTAAAGAACCAAACCAAAACAAATGAAACCAAACCAAACCAAACCAAACCAAATCAAACCAAACCAAACCAAACCAAATAAAATGAAACCAAACCTTACCAAATCAAATGAAACCAAATGAAACCAAATGAAACCAAACCAAACCTAACTCAACCAAATAAAACTAAACCAAATCAAATCAAACCAAACCAAACCAAACCAGATCAAACTAGAACAGACCAAACCAAAGAAACATAGCGGCGAGAAGGAATTCTAAGGAATTAAGCGACTTTATTTACAATGTGATACTATTTCGTTTAATTTAAACGTTACATTTTAATAGGCACGCAAGTGTGAGTAGACGCCCTGTATTTTTAAAACAGTGTGAATTACACCTACCAGCTTTTTTATTCAAGATCTTACCAAATGAAGTGTGCACCCCCCCAGACACACACACACTGCTCGGGTTCGAACATGTTTGTCTGGGAGGGATAGTAAGTGGAATAAAATCAATTAGAGCTAAACAAGATCAGAAAGGAAACCGCGAATCCTATGGACGGAACATGTGCGCAATGAGGAAGTTTCAACGAAAAGTGGAACCTCCGGGAGAGTAAATCATCGCTGGTGTGAAGAGGAAAGATTATACCAAATCCATCTGCCGCTTGGAAATCTGGTTCGCTCTATTCTGCTAGAAAATTATATAAAGTCTACCATTCTCCCATGCATTGCATATATACATGTCATATCTGGTCTGATGCTTCTGCTATGTATTTAGAGATTCTTAATCAAATCCCAAACAGAATATTACTGGTCCTGACCTGGCATCTCGTCTTCTGTCATTTTCCTACCGTCGTAACGTAGCTTCCGTGTGTCTTTGCTATAAATATTTTCTTGGTAATTATTCCGATGAGCGATACGTAGACTTTACTGATTTAAACGCAATACTAGATTAGCAAATAGGTGTCATCATTTTGTAGTTGAAATTGATAGATGTAACCTTAAGTTCGATGTTAACAGTTTATTCTCTCGCACTTCTCGCTTGTGGAACTACCTTCCGGTTTCTTGCTTTCAAGGTGATTTGGATCTTTAAAAGTTTAAATGCAATCGTTATCTATTGTCTTCTTGATTCCTATTCATTTATTAGCCTGTGTCTCTAATAAGGTATTATAATGGAAATTTCTGGAAGACATAAAGAGGAAGAATTAAAAGTCAAAGAAAGAAATAAATAAAGAAAGAAAAAACGGAGTCAAAGAAAATGGGAAAAAAGGCAAGACAAATAAAAGGAAACAAAGAAAGAAAGAAAAAAGAAAGAAAAATGAGTCAAAGAAAGAAAGAAAGAAAGAAAGAAAGCAATAAGTAGTCAAAGAAAGAAAAAGAAAGTAAGAAAAAGAAAGAATGAAGAAAAGAAAGAAAAATGAAGTGTAACAAAGAAAGACGAGTCGTTGAAAGAAAGAAAGAAAGAAAGAATGAAAGAAAGCAATGAGTAGTCAAAGAAAGAAAGAAAAAGAAAGAAAGAAAGAAAAAGAAGGAATGAAGAAAAGAAAGAAAAAAGAAGTGAAATAAAGAAAGACGAGTCGTTGAAAGAAAGAATGAAAGAAAAAGAGTTAATGAAAGAATAAGAGGAAGAAAGACAAAGAAGTCAAAGAAAGAAAGAAAAATAAAAGGAATCAAAGAAAGAAAAAAGAAGAAAAGAAGTTAAAGGTAGAAAGAATGAATGAAAAATATGTAACCGTAGAATGAATGGGAAAGAAAGAAAAATGAGTTAAACAAAGAAAGAAAAAAGAAAAAAAAGAAAGAACGGCCGGAATAAATGAATGAAAAAGAGTCAACGAATGAATGAAAGGAAGAAAGACAAAGCAATCAAAGAAAGAAAGAAAGAAAAAGTGAAATGAATTTAAGACAGAAAAATGGGTAAGACAGGAAGAGAAGAAAGAAAAAAGAAGTGAAAGAAAGAAAGAATCAAAGAATGGAAGAAAGGAAGAAAAATAAAATGGACCAAATAAAGAAAGAAAGGAAGTAAGGAAGAAAGAAAAGTAAGAAAAAAGACATGAAAAAAAGAAAAATGAGTGAAAGAAAGAAAGAAAGAAAAAAAGAAAGAAAATGGAGTCTACGAAAAGAAAGAAAAATTGAGTTAAAGAAAGTTTAGAAAGAAGGAAAGAAAATAAAAGGAATCAAAAAAGAAAGAAAGAAGGGAAAAAGGAAAGGAAAAAGAGGTGAAAGGAAGAAAAATGAGTCGAAAAAAGAAAGAAGGAATGAAAAAGGAGTCAACAAAAGAATGAATGAAGAAAGAAGAAAAATTGAAAGAAAGAAGAAAATAAAGAAAATGAAATGAAAAAGAAATAACGAAAAAAAGAAAGAAGGAATTTGATTGATTTGTTATTTACGACTTATCAACCTTTTGCAGGTTATTTAAAGCCAGAAAATATTTTTAGGTTTCAAGAATTCTTTGGAGATAATAAAGATTTACTGATACAAGTTTTACTAATTAACCCATAGCTGGGAGAAGAAGTTATGAATTCGTCCCTTTCTGAAGGTTAGGTGAATCCGACTTTCTTTCTTCTTTTCTTTTTCTTAATTTTTCTTCTTTTTTTCTATTTTTTTACTTTTTTCTTCTTTTTCTTTTTCTTTTTTCTTGTTTTTTCTTTCTTTTGTTTTCTTTTTTCTTCCTTTTTTCTTGTTTTTTCTCATTTTTCTTCTTTTTCTTCCTTCTTCTTTTCTTTTTCTTCTTTTCTCCTAACTCTTTCTTCTTCATTTTTCTTCTTTTTTCTTTTTTTATCGTTTTTTCTTCTTTTTTCTTCCTTTTTCTACTTTTTGTTTTTTCTTCCTTTTTGTTTTTTCTTCTTTTTCTTTTCTTCTTCTTTCTTCTTTTCTTCTCTGTTTCTTTTTCTTTCTTTTTCTTCTTTTTTCTTCTTTTTTCTTTTTTCATCGTTTTTTCTTCTTTTTTCTTTTTTATTATTTTTTCTTCTTTTTTCTTTTTTCTTCCGTTTTGTTTTTCTTCTTCTTTTTCTTAACTTCTTTCTTCTTTTTTCTTCTTTGTTTCTTTTTTCTTTCTTTTTCTCCTTTGTTTCTTTTTTCTTTCTTTTTCTTCTTTTTTTCTTCTTTTTTTTCTGTTTTTAATTATATCCAGCCTCAAATATATATATTTTTTTATCTTTCGAGATTCGCAGAACCTCACTTATCATTAAATGATCCCGACAAATGTTCCTGATGAAGGACTCTGTTGGGAATCTTTCCCTCTCAATAATATGCACCTGCTTTCGACAAGTATTTTAGCAAACCTTTCCATAATTCTCAGAAAATGCAATGTCCTTTATATTCTTTTTAATTCCTAGGAGTTCTTTTTTCTTTTTCTTTTTTTAAACAAAACGAAAATATAAACAACAAAAAATAGACAAAAAATAAGGTTATCGAGAGGAAAGGTCAAGCTTCTGATTACTGATTGAAGTTCTTTTGTGTTTTTGTTTTAATTACCATTATTTTCTAAGTTTGATGAATATTTTACAAGACTTCTTTGATGTTGTGAAACCCCATGACATTGTATAAGGATTGGAAGATTTTAATTACTTTTATTTAAAAAAAATTGAATTGCAATTTGTATTCTAAAAAGAGAGAAAAAGGGGGTGATGAGGGTATAATGTGTGTAGTCTTTGAGAGAAAGAGTGTGCAGCTGTAGTTCTGGTCCCTAATGTATGCGTGTGTGGGTGTGTGGGGGGGATAGAGAAAGTAAGAGAGAGAGAAAGAGAGAGAGAGAGAGAAAGAATTGAAAAATAGCAAATCTTTTTTGTTTTTTATGTTGCTGGCTAAGTTTTTTTAGCTTAACGGAAATAATGGAAACTGGAAAATATCTATCTATCTCGATCCGTCTCTTCCTATCTATCTATCTATCTATCTATCTATCTATCTATCTATCTCGATCTGTTCCTATCTATCTATCTATCTCGATCTGTCCCTTCTATCTATCTATCTATCTATCTATCTATCTATCTATCTATCTATCTATCTATCTATCTATCTCGATCTGTTCCTATCTATCTATCTATCTCGATCTGTCCCTATCTATCTATCTATCTATCTATCTATCTATCTATCTATCTATCTATCTATCACGATCTGTTCCTATCTATCTATCCCCATCCGTCCCTATCTATCTATCTATCTATCTATCTATCTATCTATCTATCTATCTATCTATCTATCTCGATCCGTTTCTACCAATCTATCTATCTATCTATCTATCTATCTATCTATCTATCTATCTATCTATCTATCTATCTATCTATCTCAGGCTGTTCATATCTATCTATCTATCTATGAGAAATTTAGAACAGATAAATATAAGCTGAAATGACGAAACAAGAAAAAAAGGAAAAAAGAAAAGAAACGTAAAAAAAAGAACAAAATATAAAAGAAAGAAAGGAAGAAGTAAAATAAAACCAAAAAACGTAAGGGAACAAAAAAGAAAAGAAAAGATGGCGGAAAAGAATTCAACAGATATAAAGCAAGTAAAAATGGGGGAAAAGGAGAGAGATCGAGACAGAGATAGTGAGTGAAAAGTGAAAGACAGATAGATAGACAGACTGATAGAAATAGAGAAAGAGAGAGAGAGAGAGAGAGAGAGAGAGAGAGAGAGAAATTAAAGAATCAAGTAAAAAAATAAAGTCTTGTCTATCAAAACGCAAAACATCCCTGCCCTTCATCACCGCCTTTCGTCAAGCCGACATTTAAAGATATCAAGAAAAGACCGGAACAAAAGGTTGGTGAAAATCAAAAGTGCACTTACCAATAGGAAGCGTGCCTGGGTTATGGGGTGCAATGGTAAAGGCGTACTTCCGAGGGCAATGGGATTCCCATCAGGAGACGAGGAAAGACCCCGGAGACGAGACATGGAGATAGATTTAAAGCCGTGCTGGATACTAATGCTTGATCGACTTAAAAAAAAAATATTTGCACGACTTTCGAACTCTTGATTTTACAAGTACGAGGGTAAGTCAAGAATTATCCACATTTTCTTTAGATTTGTCACGTTTGCCTTGTGCTCATGCGTACTCATAGTTGGTAATTTTGTGGTCACGTGATCGAAGCTTCAGCTTGATCACGTCCGTTTTCTGGTTGCACTTACAGTGCAAACATGGCCGCTCCGCTAGCAGTGTACGCCAAAGAGGAACAAAGAGCAGTGATCTGAAGCTGAAGAGAATATGCTACCTTATCGATGATAATTCGCCGGTTCACCATTGCCAACTTTCGATCTTGCTGAATCTTCTCATCAGGAGGTTGATTGGCGTCTTGTTTCTCCTTTGTGCATGTTCGGTCACATATAAACTTCCCGACCCATTCATACACACTTCCACGTCGTACTGCACTGTCTACCTTTTGTGTTATCGGATCAGTGCTCATTGTTCCTCTTCATCGGTGCACACTGCTAGCGGAGCGGTCATGTTTACACTGTAACAGCATCAAGAAAACTGGGGCGATAAAGCGCAAAATTCGATCACGTGACCAAAATACAACCAATTATAAGCACGCACGGGCAAAAGGCAGTCTGCGAAACCGAAAGATATGCTGTGGTGAAAGGTCTATAAATTTTTGACATAACTTCGTATTTAACTTCAGAGTATACAGTAATTATTTGTATAAAATATGTATTCAGTTTCAAATTATTAAACAAAATTTAGAAGTGCGTATTATACACGGGATTTAAAAGTGCGTATTATACACAGTGAATTTTCCCGCTTAGATACGTCCCCATTTTGGAGACCGAAAATTCGTTCGATTTCTACACCGAGCTAATCAATGTTTTCAAAATCTTCATCTAAGCAATCTCTATATTTACACGTTTTATATCACCCGAACTGTTACGCTCATCTTTATTGCCATATTCACGACGTTTCGGTCGTTGTACACTCCGGCCTTTTTCAGCATCTGTCTGTATTTCTGAGATGATATATTGTAACTATTTGCACTATTTACATCATTCGAGCTCATGTCCTCGTCTTTACTGTCATATACACGACGTTTAGAAATATGGACACAAACAGAATATGTTTTTAAATTTACAATATAAGCAACTTCGGATTTTGACCAGTACTCAAACTGCTGATTTTTTGCAAAAGGATCAGAGGCATGAATGGTTAGTTAAAGTTTTAATACTTGGAGCTAATAAACAGAACAAAAATATAAATCTATGCATCTAAATTAGACGAATTCTTTAATACAATATATAATTACGCATTTAATAACTTTGTGTTACATTTTTAATTCTTTTTTCATATTATATATTTCAGCAGAGTAGAAAACATGATGAAAGTCAGCAATCACCCCCTTTGAACTGTTACCCTCAGGGCGATATTTTAGTTCTAGGAAATTAGGGATCGCATGAAAGTCAGTATTATTTTAGAAATGGGGAGATTTTGATCCCCATTGTTATTATTTGTTTATTTCTTTTCTTACATCCAGGTTGTGAAAATTTTCTGATGATTTGGTCGAACTATGGCTTTGTTTGCTTGGTGATTTTATCATCCGTCTATTTTTAGAAATGGTGAAATTTTGTTCTTGTTATTTATTTTTTATTCGTTTATTTCTATATCACCACATTATCATTGGGTCCAGCATAAACTGAATGCTGAAAATTTTCAACGTATTTTAAACGTATTACTTTTCTGAATTCGATGCTGTTCGTATTTGTGTGCGTGTGTGCGTGTGCATGTGTGTCTGTGTTGGTGTACCTGTAAACTGCTGTCCAATTTCCTTCTTTTGTATTTATTTAATAGAGACATTTTAAGCATATCCCCCCCCCCAACAAGGCGGGAGTGCCACTAGCACACACGGGGTTACAGATAGTGAGTGTCTATATTTTAGAGATAAATATGGCGCCAAAGATGAGGACAATAGTCCGAATAATGTAAATAGTGCACATAATACCTCATATCAGAAATATAGACAAATACTGAAAGGCCGAAACGTTGTAATAAATATGGCAACAAATATGAGGACAATTGTCCGAATAATGTAAATAGTGTACATAATACCTCATCTCAGAAATATAGACAGATACTGAAAGGCCGGAACGTTGTAATAAATATAGTGACAAAGATGAGGACAATAGTCAGAATAATGTAAATAGTGTACATAATACTTCATCTCAGAAATATTGACAGATACTGAAAGGCCGAAACGTTGTAATAAATATGGCGACAAATATGAGGACAATAGTCTGAATAATGTAAATAGTGTACATAATACCTCATCTCAGAAATATAGACAGATACTGAAAGGCCGAAACGTTGTAATAAATATGGCGACAAAGATGAGGACAATTGTCCGAATGATGTAAATAGTGTACATAATACCTCATCTCAGAAATATAGACAGATACTGAAAGGCCGAAACGTTGTAATAAATATGGCAACAAATATGAGGACAATTGTCCGAATGATGTAAATAGTGTACATAATACCTCATCTCAGAAATATAGACAGATACTGAAAGGCCGAAACGTTGTAATAAATATGGCGACGAAGATGAGGACAATAGTCCGAATAATGTAAATAATGTACATAATACATCATCTCAGAAATATAGACAGATACTGAAAGGCCGAAACGTAATAAATATGGCAACAAATATGAGGACAATAGTCCGAATGATGTAAATAGTGTACATAATACCTCATCTCAGAAATATAGACAGATACTGAAAGGCCGAAACGTTGTAATAAATATGGTGACAAATTTTTTTTTCGCACCTCACCAACCTGGTACCTTGCAGATGAAGTCAAATTAAACGAAATCATGTCTTTACATGGCTTCTGTGATTTTCTTCTCAGTGACTAGATTTCTTAATCATTTTCAACTTCATCTCGGCTTCTTTTCTCGCTGTTTTCGTTTCAAGTCCTTGTCTTTGTTGTACCTTTTTTTTCTACGATAATCACCCCCCCCCGACTAACACGGCGATGTATGAAAGTACAAACGAATGTTATATTCCCTTGTTTTCTGGGAGTTTTTCTTTATAGAAAATTTTGTAAAAAAATCCCCCGTTTTTTTTTTTTTAAACCACTATCAGCCGTGCCCAGCACCGACACAGAAGACATCAGGACGGAATATCACCAAGAGCAGCTGGTA